CAATCATATTTGCAGTTTGAGCCGCGCCGACTTGAAATACGTGAGCTTGCCTAATACAAAAGTTTACTTTATTGAAATTATTTCATTCTTTTTAGAGCGTTTGAAGTCGGTTGTATTTTTTTACAAAAAGAAATTATTTCATGATTTTTAGTGACTGTATAATTTTTTATATATCAATCACTTGAGGTTTTTTGATAAGCAAAACTGTTTGAAACAATCAAAAGTTCCACGGTTCCACAGAACAATAATTATTTTAAAACTGCTTGAGTCACCTGTTGAGGTTACATAATCATTGGTTATGAAAATAAACATTTTTAGATATTCCTTAAGAAAGAAAGAGTTGTCCATTACATTAGGCCTGATGAAAAACTAACTGTCTTTTCTAGATCCATTGAAATGTCAGACATCATCGTTTCCTGCAATGAAAAAAAACATTTTTAGATATTCCTTAAGAAAGAAAGAGTTGTCCATTACATTAGGCCTGATGAAAAACTAATTGTCTTTTCTAGATACATTGAAATGTCAGACATCATCGTTTCCTGCAATCGGTGTTCTTCTACATTATAAAAAGAAATACAGTAACGTCTCAAGCCTTTTGGAACAATATGAAAGTTATTCCTCAGCTACCAGCACTAAACAATCTCTCAAAAGTGGAAAATTGGTCGTTAACACGTATAGTACCTTTGGAAAATATTATATGAAAGATTGGTTCAGCTAAAAGTGGTGTAAGTCATGTAGGGGGTTTTGTTTGATCAAGATATAGCCTAGTCGAAATTGCAAATCATCTTCCCCTAGGACTTTCCGAAGCAGGCATAATAGTACTGATATGATAATAGTAACTGGGTAGAGAATATTAATAAACATTCCACATCTGCAAATGCATGTTTAGTAATTAAAATATTTAACACTTTTAAGACAATTGACGATTATGCACTGTCACACTTCTTAGGTCGTGTAAGGAATAATTGCATTTAATTTATATTTAGACCTGTTTTACAAATGCTTTGGTTTTCACAATACACCTTTATTTGTCGACTAGCTGTAACCCGCGGGCTTTGCCCCGTTTAACTTCTTAATTTTCAAGATTATCTCGTTCGCATGGCTCAATCACGTCCTGGTTGAAGTTTGTTCGCTACGCTCACTCACCTTTAGGTTGGAGCTCGTTCGCTACGCTCACTCACCTTTAGGTTGGAGCTCGTTCGCTGCGCTCACTTGCCTTCAGGTTAGCTCGTTCGCTATGCTAACTCGCCTCCAGGTTGAAGTTCGTTCGCTTCGCTCACTCACCTTTTCGTTGCAAATTAGCTGTTGTCATAAATGTAAAAGAAATAATAGTGCTGCACCCTGTTGGTAATCCTTGTAACTTTAATGCTATTGAACATCATAGAACAGAACCAACTTGTTTAATTGAAACAGCTGTTAAGATTCAATAATTCCATTTCTCATAAGGTTAACATGGGAAACTCCAGAGCAACTGGGGCGGAGCCCGCAGCCCGAAAGGATTTTTGAAATAAGAATATGCCTATATGTTAATCGGGAATGTGAGCTATCATCATGCCAAATTTCAGCCCAATCCGACCAGTATTTTTCGCGTTCACTTGTCACAAACATACATCCATACATCCATACATCCATACATCCAAACAATCTCATTTATAATATTAGTAGGAAGTAGGATATCATACAGCTATTCACTGAAACATATATGTTTTTGTAAGTCAGAATATTCAATACTAAAAACAGAATTACTGTATACACAAATCAGGTCAAACGTTAAAATACATTTTCTATAGTAACTGTTCTATTTCTAATCCAAGAATATTAAACACACATCTTGTGTCAACAAACTCTATTTCAAAACTAAACCAATGTTTACAAAAACATGTTTACAAAAATCATCTGTCAACAAAAGATATTTAAACACAAATAAATCATATGACTATAAGAACAGACTTAATACAACAGTAACCAAAACAAAAAGCATTTTTCTCAATGTAATTAATTTAGGCTCCATGGCAAGAAATAGTTTATTGATCAATATGGAGCAACTGTTTCATGAAGAATTGTCTGTAGCTTCATTTAAGGGGAGTCGCTACTGAAAAACTACCAATTTTGTAAAAAACTTGATTTTTTTTATTATTTTTTTATCTTGTTCTATGGATTGTAAGGTTTCAGAAAAACATAATATTTGGTATAATATATATTTTTTTCACTGTGAAAAAAATATTTGAAGTGAAGCGCGCACACCTCTTTTGGGCATCAACTAGGCCTAGTATAAACCAACGTATAAACTTCAACCGCTGTTTTCCGCGACTTTAAAATTTTGTTTTTTTTTATATATAAGTTCTTATAACTTTTTAACTATTGCAGCTATATGAATGAAATTTTTACCACACATTGTTTATACTATAAATCAACTTTCTGTGCATGGATATTGTAATTGGGTAAATAAAAGTACATGAAAAAAAATTTATAAAAATTTATAACCTATAAATTTTTCAAAAACTTATTTTTGAAGCCATAACTTATAAACTAATTGAGAAAATAACATGAGTATGCACAGAAAGTATGTGCTTTCCTTGCTCTTTAAAATAAGATATCGAACAATAAAATTGGTTCACTAGTTAAATAGTTATAAGAGATTTAAAAAACCCCATTTTTCCCGCCAAAAAACTTAAAAAACTCCAAAAAGTATGTAAACATTTTTTTTTTTTTACTTTAACGGCAGTAAATCTTTTTCTAAGACTAAATGAACTTAAAAAAGTATATATGATAATTTTTAAAAGGATTTTATTAAAAATCACTAGTTTCAGTAGCGACTCCCCTTAAATGGTTTCAACTAACAGCTGTAGGAATGTTATTATTATTTATTGCCTTCTCTGCACAAATGTAAACAATCCGCACAAATGTAAACAAAATAAATGTTGAATATTTAAGGTTTTCAGAATTTTTCACCGAAACTAATATTATACTTAAACATAATATATAAGGTACCAAATAGAAACTCTCCTGGTTATTTTGGTGGTGGAACCACACTGATCGGTAAAAGAATCACAGAGAAATTGGTGAACATACATAGAAAAAAAAAAACATCGCCACAGACAAATTGAGAACCTCCTCCTTTTGTTGGTAGTGGGGAAGTCGGTTAAAAAGTACATAAATGCTATGGCGGCAGAATATAAGAAAAAATATTGTAAAAATTTGGATCAATAATAAATGTAGTCAGATGATGTTGTGATACTAGATACAGTTGGGAACACCTGCTTAACATATAATAATTATTATAATTAATATTTTTAAATATTATTTATCTTATTTAAGCAAGTTTTTAATAGTTGTAGAGAAAAGATTAATTAATTATATAACAATCAATTATAACAGTAGCCTACTAATCTAATGGTAATTAAATAATCTATATTCAAATAATAGTATCCTCTCCAACTACCAGAAAAACAATTCAACTACTTGAGGCCTAAACAGATTAATAGAATCATATTATACTGTAGCATCAAAAATATTTAAGTATTATGTGACAATTGCACCTGTCGGCTACTCTTTCACCACTTGAAAACACTCCCAATCAACTAGCACAGTTAGCTCAGAGGTAAGGTGTGAGGATCACGTGTCGAAGGTACCGGGTTCGAGACCCGTCCCGGCCAAAAAATTTTATTTCGTTTTATTTTCAAAATAAGTTTTTATGAACTACTCAACTCATAATTATGCTTTGCATACAAAATCTTTATTATTTTGTGTTTTTTATGTTTATGCCCAATGGGATGGTTGGCCCTTCCGCAAAAATTGGTTGGTTGGCCAACCGTAAGACTGAGTGCCAAAACATACCGTTGGCCAACGATCGACAGAAACGTTGGGCCAACGATTTGCCAACGATTTTTGCTACTTGGGCAATGCGATAAAATGCAAGTAGTGGCAGTGATTTGTAATGACTGGGAATCGAAGTGAGGAGAATTCTACCACAAACTAGGGAACAAAAGGAAACAAAAATTTTGATCCCTAGTCTGCGATTCCACTGTCGCGCAATTTCAGAAATGTTCAAAATAGTGTCTGTTACTTGCGCCTGCAAAAAAACACTTGCGCCTCTGGGCCCGGGCCCATTTGTAACAGTAGTACTATCCAGCAGTCTAGCACTGCCAATACCCGGTCCGTATGTTTTAGTTCAATTATAGAAATGGGGACGCCACCTAGGTGCGTATTTTGGTACTTACGTATTAAACGGAGGCCACATTTTGTCAGCGCGCTGCGGCGGTTATGTTATAGGTTGGGTTATCGTAAATATTATGTGTGTAGGACTTTCCTAGCTTCGTTATGAATCGAACGATACCAGACGAGTTATACTTTCTATTATGATAACCCAACCTAACATAACCGCCGCAGCGCGCTGACAAAATGTGGCCTCCATTTAATACGTAAGTACCCGTATTTTAACCCAAATATGAGTGAAGGATGAGTGTAGAATGGTGTGTGTGTGTGTGTAGCTTTGTTACTGACTAAGGCTACGGCCACACGGGCGTTTTTTCACGCAGGAACGCAGCGTGAAAAAACGCGAGAAATATGAGCAGCATTAAATGTAATGAGGTATGCCACACGCAGTGTGTTTTCCCGCAGTAGCGGGCGCCCATTTGTTTCAATGCTACTTTAATTTTTCGCGTGTTTTCACGCTGCGTTTGTGCGTGAAAAAAAACGCCCGTGTGGCCGCAGCCTTAGATCAGCTGTTTCATTAGTCAGCGGCTAGTAGGGTACCGACCCGTCCACGCGTACACTGTACAGCAGTTTTGGCCGAGGTTGCAATCGCGACGGCGCGGCGCGGCGTCTCCTGCGTGGCATTGTCTGGTCACACACAAGGGTCACAAGCCGAGACAATGAGTCAAGATGATACTAGACCTAGAACTAAAATAGCCTCTGAGTGTGACTGTGACTTTCTGAAATAACTGCAGACTGCTGCTGCTCCAATGACAGTAACTAGCGCATGCGCAGTGCCAGTAGGACGGTATTTTCCTGCAATGAAAGGCTCGCATCTAGCCAGAAATTGAGAAACGAATTGGATTTTGGATTGCACTGCACAGAAAAATTGTCAACGTGAAGTGAAGCAGACGACAGATCAGACCGCCAGCTGTGGTGGTCGCCGGTATCGGTATCAGTGATCAGTGACAGTGATCAGTGTTGAATTGAATGAATGGTGGATGGTTTGTTTTCATGTTTTCATTATTATGGACTGACTATTGTACGTCAAGAGTACCCAAGAGGATTGTAGTTTGTTAATTTCTGACCTAATTACTTGAATGTTGAATGGCCCAATAAAATTTTATTTGATTTTGTTTAAGTTTTGTTGGCGTTGCTGTAACCGCAACGAGGTGTCGGTGCCTCTAGCTCTAGTTAAATAATTGAATACTAAACAAATAGATGTCCCTGTTCCTGTTGTAATAAACAAAAAATACATACTCTAATTGCTTGGGCCATCATATTTAGTTTAACATAACTTATACAAAATGCGAGAGATATCTAATGTGAAGTTTGATGAAGGTGAGATTGAATATTAATCTTGAGTTTTTAGCATTTAGTATCAAGGCCTAGTAGGGATGAGAATTGATAGCCCAAGATTACAATACATCATGTTCGATGGTTTTTACATTGATTGTAGGTTACCGATATTTCAAACAAACGATGTTTTGAGCCAACTATCAAAATATCGATGGCTTTTTTTCATAACTGAATTGTATTAGTTTTAATAAAATTGAAAGTTGGTCTTAAAAGGGAATTGAATTTTTGTATTTATTCCGATAAAAGTCTCCACAAATAAATTGCAAACTGGATAGTAGACTTAGACAAGAGGGGGGGGGGGGGGGTCGTGAGATAAGGCCTCCCAACGACAAAACCTTAAGAAATTTGATGTCACAACCTACCACCCCTCTCTCTGAGAGTGGAATGGGGAGAGGAGTCTCTTCAACTTAGGTACAACACGTAAGCTGGCACTTGGCCTAGCGTGGGCAGTGTAAGGCGGAAGGAGGGTGTAGGTAAGGAAAAGACCGGACTGCAAACATCTCCCCTGCCTCACGGGGTTGACTTCTCGTGTATCATGTACTTGACCGCCTTTACTTGAGTCGCGAGGACAGTTGATGCAACTGGGACGCATGACGGGACATAATGTTTTTGAACTAGTTGCAGTAGCGATCGGCTAAGTGCCAGGTCAGATGTCATGAGATGTAGCCTTGTCGCCCGCTGTTCATTCTCACTAAATTAGAAATAACCGTACTTACTCAAAAACTAATAATTTTATGAATAAATGCCAAGAACACTTTTATTTAGCATTTTCAATACCCTATCAAACGTTACCAAGTTCTACAAGATTGAATAAGAAATAGGTGAAATATTATGATTTTTAGTTGTAAAATGGGGTAGAATAAGGTAGAATTACAGCTATGTCAGGTTTGCCCCATTTTCCAACTAAAAATCATAATATTTTAGCTATTTCAATTTCTTATTTGATTTTTTTTTGCACTTGGTAATGTTTGATAGGGAATTTAAAATAACAAATAAAAGTTTTCTTGACATTTTTTATAAAATCAGCCATTTTTAATAATTTAAGTTAAAAAAAATTAAAATGGCCCCCATTTTTTATTTTAGAAGTTGAATCAAGATGCAATTTTTTCCAACATGGGTCTCTTCTATCTTAACATAATACATACCAAGTTTCATAAAGATCTAAAAGTAAAAAGTTTAAAAAAGTCTAAAAGTATAAAAATGTTTATGTTAAAAATACAAAATGGCAGATATCTGGTTAACAAAGCGATTTGGAACAAATTTTATTCATGATTTTCTCTTGGTTTTGACCCAAGGAATCACCATGTAAATCATCCTGTATATTGCAAAGGGGTGCTACTATTAGTTGTCCCTAGGACGCTAACAGGGTCAAAAATGGGCCTGTGCCTAAACCTTAAAATCTGAAGGTTTGATTCCAAGCAAGATCGTAACCATACTTCATGCCATTTTTCATTAGCCCAACATTGAATGTTGATATGTTGACGCTTTAAATCGAATAGGCTACTTGATTCCTCCCTTGATGGGCCCACAGATAGTGCGGTTAATTAGATGCATGATAAGAATGTAGTATGAAGTATGACTCTTAAAAACATTTAAACGTTCAAACATTCTTTAAAGTGATCTCAATAACTTACATCCCAGCAAATAACTGTAAGTAATAAGTCAAATTAGTAACTATTAATTGGATGCTACATCGTGGCCATAGTTTTAGAACAAAGAATCTAAGTAATGTGTGTATTTCAGGGTTTCAGATGAATACTGCACATATTTTGAAGAAGAAACGAGATGGTGGGGAGTTTACCAAAGAAGAAATAGAATACTTTGTCAGCAGTTTAGTGAACGGAAGTATCTCTGAATCACAAATTGGTAAATCATTTATGATAATAATATATACTTTCACCCCCTATACATTGAACCACGCCCCGCTCTTACACCCAAGCGAACAAAATTGGAAGCGTGTTCCCATGTGCAGAGACGAGGAGCAGCTCACAGCCCTTCCTAACAAACCGTGGAGGAAAGGTTCAAGAACATCTCACCCTTTGAGAGGAACAAGCTGTAATTTAAACATTTCAAAACAATAGAAAATACAGCATGCAATACCAAAATCCTATAAATTTACTTTCAGTTCCAAACTGACTTCTCAATTTCATTCAAAATAAAGTTACTAAAAGGTTGGCAATAACAAACAGTCTTAATTTAAATACATTTTCAACTTTTTAAAATTAACCTTTTAGGGGCCCCATAAATTAATTAATAAACAAATAATTAAATGCTGTGCTTAAAATTATATAACTGTGAATAAACACAATGAAACAGCGCAAAGAGGGAGCCAGAATCCTCTGGTGGTTTGTTCTTGAACAAATGTGCATCAGACGGAACTACTTTATTAATAGCTCCCAAACAATATAAATCTCCATGAATGCCCACTTAGGGGCAAGCTACCATACTGAAGGTTCCCTAAGACACGCGTCGACCTTCATGATGCTGTTTGTAATGCACACAGCTGCCACCTGTGTATAGATGTTTTGTTACATTTAGTCAGGGGTGCCCACATGGGGGGACTGTGACGTAGACCGTGTCATTGAAATTCTTGGGGGGAGGGGGGGGTTGCAAAAAATTCAGGGTGGCTAAATTTGATTGCAACAGTGTTCAACGTGACGACAATCAAAAATATATTACAAAGTCACCAGATAGAAATATGATTAATTAATGATAATAGTTATATTATTGAATTCAATTAGTTAAAATAGCTATGTTAAGGATTTGTGTAGGAAGTTATTATTCAATATTAGCAAGACGTAAGTTCTAGGTAGGGCACGGAATGGCTCAACTGCTGAGATAGATAAAGATAATAACGCGTGGCACTGGCACAAGCTACACCGCAACTCAGCACAGAACGCTGTGTTAACATAAAGCTCGTTAAAATACAATCAAGTAGGATAGGCTATAATACTTTACACTATTGTGTAGATACTCGATTACCTGAGTTAATAGGGGGTAATGAAAAATACGGTTAATCCAATATAGTATAAAAACAGATGACAAACCCATTAAAACAGCAGATGACAGCCATTAACGTCACAATTTGCATTTTTTCAACGAAATTCAACATTGCACAATCATTATTATTTGTGTAATAATGACATTTAAAATCATTTATCTTGGTTGAGTTGTACAAACGGCAACTTTTAAAATTATAGCTCAAGCTCAACTAATAACTAGCCAAACACTGCATTGCTATAAATAACGTAAATATTAAACCTTAGAAAGTTTTGTAAGCTACTGCTCATGATAGACAGATAGGCTACAGGTAGGTGCTGTATCACAACATAGGAATTGATAGATAAGTTTTACAAAAGTTTAAAGTTATGATTTATAGACAATAAAAACACTCTTAAAAAGAATGTAATGAGAAAAATCTTGTTATTATTTTTCATTGTCCTTCTGTTCTTTCTTAGGTTTCTCTTCAATTCATACACAAATTCAACAAGTCGCCATATTTACCATTGCCCAATCACTGTCTACTAAAGTTACCATGGTTACCACTCAATCACAGTTTACTAAGCATTATATTATATCCTCATCATTCCCCAGCTGTTGTATCTGAAATCGGTTGTAGCCCACAGCAGACAGAAGTGTAAAACGGAGCAGGCGATTGTTGGCGCAAGCGTTATGGTTGAAGTAATTTTTTTCCATTTAATTTTCACCAAAGGAGTTGTGATGTTTCCAAAACGATTATTTGGGAGAGGGGTCGTTATATCAAGAGAAAGACGCTGACAATTCGTTAAGCAGAGGTTACGAACGCTATATTCTGGCAATAATAAATTCCTTAAATTGAGGTGACTTATAAAACTCTAATTTTATTTTGTAAATATGTGGTTTCCCTGGACACTAAATTAAAATACCTAGCTCAATAAAATAAAAGGGCAAACTGAATTATTAAACTCAACACTTTTAATTGAACCAACTAAAAAAGACATAGATTAAAACTATTATTGTTTTTAACAACACATTTAACAATTTAACCATCTGGTATTCATCATTGAAGTATAACATTAAAAACAGACATGTGGCAAATATTAAATTGCACTCAACACCCCTCCTCAATTTAATAATTTTACATTTGACACAATTAACAAACAAACAATCCTAACATCTTTCTCAAATTGCCAAACCGAGGCGCAGGCAGACTTTTTGTAAAAATGTCTGCAATCTGATTTTCCGAACATATATATTCTGCAGACATGATTCTCCGCTGGTGAAGTTCCCGCACAAAATTGTATTTAACATTCACATGTCTCAATCGGCGATGCTCCCACTTCTGTAGAAGTCGTATGCAAGATTGATTATCTTCCAGGATGCGGATTGGTAACTTAAGCAAAATTTGAAAATCTTCTATCAGATACTTCATCCAGAGTAATTCGGCTGCTGCTGTTGCCAAAGCTACATATTCCGCCTCTGTAGATGATAACGCAACACTAGATTGCTTCTTTGTTGCCCAACTTACAGTACTTCCAAACACTTGTATGAGATAACCTGAGGTCGATCTTGAATCTCCACTTTTATTCCAGTTTGCATCAGCGTAAGCCAGAATAATGTCATCTTGTTTGCTCTTTCGATAACATAATTTTAAGTCGATTGTTCCTTTTATATATCTTAGGACTCTCTTCAAACATTTCCAGAGTTCTTCTGTTGGGTCACTTTGATGCCTGCTTAGGAAATTTACTACAGCACTCAAATCTGGCCTTGTACCTAGCATTGCATACATTAAGCATCCGATTACTTCTCTGCACGGCTTATCAGTCCTTTTTCCGCCTTTGATTTCTAGTTTTACTTCCATTGGCGTTTTGACTGGGCAACAATCTTGCATGTTAAATCGTTTAAGAAGACTCTTTAGGTAGGCAGTCTGACTTAAGTACATTTCCCCCTCACTCCTGGAGATTTCGATTCCCAAAAATGTTTTTGGTTCTCCCAATTCCTTGATTTTAAACTTCTCATTCAACTTTACTTTAATTTCCTTGATTTTCTCCCTATTATTTCCTGCCATGAGAATATCATCAACATAGAGCACAAGATACACGACAATATCATTTTGTATCATAACGTAAAGACATTTGTCGGATTCTGATTGGGTGAAACCAACTGAAATGAGAAATGAATGAATAGCTTGATTCCATGCTAATGGTGCCTGTTTCAAGCCATATAGCGCCTTTTGCAATTTGCAAACGGAGCCGAGTGTTCCTTCAACTCCTTCAGGAATGGACATATATATTTCCTCCTTCAGTTCACCATGAAGAAAAGCATTGTTGACGTCTAATTGTTCAAGAATTAATCCACGTTCGTTTGCTACAGCCAGCAACACCCTAACTGTTGCAAGACGAACCACTGGAGCATATGTTTCTAAATAGTCAAAACCCTTTCTCTGTGAACATCCTTTGATAACAAGTCTTGCCTTGTATCGTTCAATATTTCCGTCCATGTCTTTCTTCAATTTGAAAACCCATTTACTGGAGATAGCTTTCCTTCCAGGTGGTAGTTCAGTGTAAGTCCAAGTTTTGTTTTCCTTTATAGAGTTAAGTTCTTCCTTAACAGCTTGATACCAATGATCCTTATCATCACGTGCTGCAATATCCTTGTAACTTTGCGGTACATCATCGACAAAAGATTCAGCATTCAGAGCAAGAACTGCATAATCCTGTAAGTATCCTGGCACATTTCTCTTTCTGGTAGAGTGTCTTATTGTTTCTTCTTCACTTACATGATCTTCAATTTCTTCTTCCTCTTCTTCAAGATCTGGTATAGAAATTCTTTGATTTTCATCAGACAATGATCTGGGTTCTTCTTTGTTCTTGTCTTCCTTTTTATTCGATCTGGATTCATGTACATGATCGGGAATCCAGTCTTCAATTGGTGTGCTCTCAAAGTTAAATTTTTCCTCATAAAACACAACATTTCTTCCAGTGATTATTTTTCCTTCTTCAGGACACCACAGTCGATAACCATTAGGACAATATCCAGTAAAGTAACACTTCAAGCACTTGCTGTCAAATTTACTCGATATTAATTCCTTAGGTAACAGCAAATATGCTGCACAGCCAAAAACTCTTAACTTAATAAGATTAGGCTTCTCATTGTACCATAAAGCAGCAGGGATCTTTCCTCCTAAAGCTGATGTCGGACTTCGGTTGATTAGATATACGGCAGTTCGAACAGCTTCTGACCAAAATGTCTTACCTAATTCACAATTAAGTATTAAACAACGAGCTCTTTCAACAATAGTCCTGTTCATTCGTTCTGAGACACCGTTCTGTTGAGGAGTATATCTGATTGTGAACTCATACTGAATTCCTTGCTCCTCAAAAAACTGCTTCAACTCATTTGACATGTATTCACGACCATTGTCACAACGAAATCTGCTAATCTTTAGATTGAAATGAGATGTAGCCAAAGCATGATACATCTTGACGTATCGTGTGACTTCCGCCTTCGATTCTAGAGCATAGGCCACCGTGAAATGAGTAAAGTCGTCAATAAAAGTGATGATATATTTCTTACCGTCAAATGAAACTGGTGAGATTGGACCACACAAATCACTGTGAATCAACTCAAGAGGTCTGGTGGCACGTCTCCTGTTCTGATTGTAAGGAAATTGTGATTGTTTCCCTTCAACACACTTTGAACACTTTTCTAAGGGTAATGTTGAAGTATTCAACTCCATCCCATCTACCTGCGACCTGAGACTTTTAATACAACCATAGCTCAAATGACCAAGCCTGTCATGCCACAGTTTCATTTCTGTTTCAGTTGAAGAAGCTGACAAAGCTTTTTGTTGCAGAAAATTTAACATATATAACTGAGAATTGTTT